TAATCTGTGGTCAACAATTAACTGTATTATCACTAATGTAGCATGTTAAATTTAGTCTCTCCAAGCCTATGTTGTTGCACAAATAAAGCATGGGAATGTTGAAATTTGTACTGAAATGTAAAACAAATCAAGGCAAAACAAAACAGCACTACATTTAAGCCATTGCTTTTAAGACGCATAAATGTGTGCTTGTATGTGATTAGCTTATTTGGCTAGAATTTTCTTAACAATAATTTCTAAACCCTATCACTCCTCTGAAAAACAGTATTCATTTTCCAAATAATGCAACTGAGTAAACAAAAATTAAATACATTTTCAAAATCCTAAATGCAAGCAGTTACATGTAGCTGGTATTGAACCTAAGTAATTTATTTCTGAAGATCCTGATCTTAACTATCATGCAGAGTTTCTTCTTTTGATGAAATGGTGGTATTACACCCTAGACTAAGATTTTTTTGCACCTTACATATAATTTTGGTTACTTGGGATTTTGAAAGTATGAAAAACACTATAACCATCAATGGAAGGAAAAGTCAAACAGCTTCTTAACTAGTTTGAACTTTACATAAAAAATAACATTTGGGTACAAATGTTAATATGCTTTGATACTATATTTACATTGATATTAACAAATAATAAAAGGTAGTAAAATTCACTGAGAACAACAATAAATTTAAAGTTGTTTATTGATTCTCTGATAAGCACGCTCATGAAAATTTGCCCCCTATTCTGTGTTATTGCATTAATCCCTAGTTTATCTCTTGATTTCAGATTTTTTTAAATCATTATGCAAAAGAACAGGCTTCCTCTCATTCACCAAATGCAATTCACATATATAGAAGTCTGTTGTTGTTGATTGACCAAGTAGAATAAATTAAAATAAATGAGATTCTTTTAAGTACATGATGCAGTACTTATACTGCAATAAATTGTCCTGAGTTCTTCGGTGGATATTCCTAGAGCAATCCTGGAAAGTTTTAATCAAATTATATATAATCTTCTCACGATGCTATTAAGGCATAGTAAATATCGTGCTCTCTATGGAAAATACTGAAATTCTCTAAATGCTAATGTGGAATGAGTCATCATAGGTAGCACTTCCTGGTCTGAAATTGAAATGATTTACATGGTTGGTTAGTTTGCAGTTCTTTTCGCTTGTCTTCAATCATGGTCTAACTGTTTTTCTCTGTTAACTAGTTGTAGATTATACAATTTAAGAGTATTGTCCCCGTGATCTAAACTTCAAAACCAAACCCCATTTTTGTGAGTGACATCATCAAAAGGTAAAATGAAAATTACTCTCTTAAGGTTCAACTCGCACATATTTTACTTTTGTGTTTTCATATAATGAATATAATAGCAAAAATCAATTGGAAAAATGAAAAGTCACTTTTCTGCAGATTGTGAAACAAATTGTAAATAAAATGGCTGTATATCATGAAATTAAAAGAAAACTTAAAGTTGCTGTTAGTATAGGCCACAATATTTTGTATTACTCAACTAATTCAGTGTACACGCATGTGCATGCATGTACAAATATGCAGAATGTTGAATGAAATAGATTAGAGGCAATTAATCCAGGATGATACCGTGGAAGATTTTTGAGAGTAAGTGTTGTTTGGAGTGAGTTTTGAAAAGGAAATAAAGATCAGCATGGGAAGAAGAGGAAAGAGTGTAGTTCAGCAAATGTCACAGTAAACCTATATTTGGTTTGCTATCGCTAAAGAAGAAAGCATGTGGATGTAAATAATAAGGAAGTAAGGCTGGGCTTACATATGAAGACAGAAGCATAGCTTGGCCAAACGGAGAACATCTGTCTTTAAATTTGATAGTAATTGGCTGGTGAGAAGTTTTTAAAGGCATATATTCAACTTCCTCCTTTTTCTCTTTTCTTTCCTCTTGTTTGAGTAGAAAGTTATTGTACGAAAATCTATTATTCCTTCAAAATTGCACACTTTTATTGAATCTCCCTAGCTATCATGGTCTTAAAACAGTGTCTATCTGTATAAGAATGATCTTGGAGAATAACTGCTCTTTACCATGAAACACAAGAGATAATTGATAATTCAAAATATGATTAAGAATCAATCAGGTTTCATTTTTTCTATTTTCCATAAAACAATTCTATGTTGCTACTATCCCTTACTCACTCTCAATGTGTGGGGATCTTTCATCTTATAGTAATTTTTGTAACAAGTAAATTTATTAAAGAACCGATTGCACATATATGGTACTCTTATATACATGTGTGGATGATGATGTGTCTTTGTTCCTTTGGTTCTTTACTTCCTAAGATCCATGACGAAAGGAACTGTTAAATTTCTTTATTCCCCCACAGTACATGGAAACTATTTATAAAACATTACATAGAAATAATCTACATATTTAATTAAATGATGAGTTATGCTTTAAGCACATTAAAAAATATCAAATACATGGTATTTGCTTTAATACATGATATGTTACATGTAATGACAACGTGGGAGTGAAAGATAAATTTTGATGCAGATATATATCAAATTGATGGAGGAATAGATAAAATATCTACTTCTACTGAGAGAAGAAGAGACTTGTAAGGCAGAAATAAATTCAGAAATGATTCTATATAATAAAACTTCCTTAAAATATATGGTACAGTCCAATAAGAGTAAGTTGATTTTGTAAGTGAAAGGCAGGATGCTTAATTCTAAATGAAGAATGTTTGCATATCTGCAAGAATGTTAGACATTATCTGTTGCAACGATAAAATATCTGCAGAGCATTATTTAACACATAGTTTTGGAAACTAAAAACCAAGTTTGTGTAACTTCATGTGTTTGATGTCAAGAAAAGGCCCCATCATGGATAACATTGCATTGGTAATGATTCGCCAGAGATGTCACGTGATAACACACGAAAGCAGAGAGGAATATTCAAGGTCCAGGCTTTCTTATTTGCAGCAGTGTTCTAACTAACTAATGTTTCCAGTGAACTACATTACCCTCCTGAGTGTGGTTGCCCCAAAATTTTTCACTAAGCTCCATCACTTAAAGTTTCCCCCAGTTTGCCCAATCGCCCCACAATCAGGTTTTTAACACATGAATTCCTGAGGGATGCAGTCAAACCATATTCGAAACACAAAAGGAACATAACAGTTACAAACTTAAAACGTGGTTCAAAGAAATTTTGTTTTTATTCCAGTCGAGCGCAGATGTTCACACAGAGCAATGCCATTCATTTAACTTTGATTTGGGTGCAGGAAGACAAATCTCATGGAACAAATGAATTAAGTACCAAGCTTCTGGGAGGAAAGCACAGTGGAATGGAGGTGACAATCCTCAAGGCACTGAGCAGTGACAGGAGATGTAGGGAGGAGAGGAAAGGAGAGTGTTATGGATTAAGAACTGGTGGTCAACTTAATGACAGCTGGATTATATCAGCATGGCACTGAGCAAAGATACTCCACCTCAGGAAAGATGCCAGCAGAAAGAGGTGGAAAAGGAGAAGAAGGTTGTAAGGGTTGCGTTCAGGCATTGTGAGTTCTCCTTCGAGTTGCTGTTTGAGCCTTTGGTTCTCCTGGAGAAGCTTTGCTTCCTAGCTCCAGAGGGGAAGACATGTGCTGCTTGGTCTCCAGGATAAACTTGCCAGGCTGGCTTCCTGGCATGTCCCCCACTGTTTTTGTTGTCCTCGGAGCTCAGGGCCTCCGTGTCGCTGAGGATGGCTGTGGTGCTTTTCAGAACAGCCCTGGTATTTGTTGTGAGTCCTCAGCTCCAGCATAAAACCCCCATGTCACCAACACAGCTCCTTCACCCCGCTGGCATGGGCTTTTTGATTTCAACTGCAGACCTTTGGACCTTCCCAAAGGTCTCTTCTGTAAAAGAGACTGGCCTGAGTCCTTCTTATGGGCTCTGGACCTCCAGTTGGACCCATGGGAGGCACTGCCATGAGCTCTGAGTTTTTATTTGGACTGTGTGGGACATTGCTGTGGGATTTAGGCTCTTGGCTAAATAATCCATGTCTTTGGTGTTGTGGTTAGATTTGCTGCATCTTCTTGTATTAACTCCTGGTGACCATTATAAAAATAATACTATAAACTCCATGTCCTGATTCTAATTGTTCTCTGCACAACTCCTGACTACAACAGAGAATAATGCGTGCAGATTATCATAGACCTGAGAATATCATGAGTTGGAACTCTGAGAATATTGACAAGAATAAAGAGAGAAAAATTGTAGATGACTCAGTATCTTTGTTTCATATTAAAGAGACTGTATCTCACAATTTGGAAAATTACTTGCCCAGATCTTCCCATTCATGTCATTTTCATGAAAACTGCAACAGTTTAATAAATAAACTTTGAAATCATCTTCCAATGAACATGTCTTGGAAACATTTTACATAAAGTTTGTTTACTGTACATATTATAACATAACTGTATCAAACCAATTTTTACTTCCTAGGAAGATGTTTCTATGCCTCTGAAACACACATTTGGCATCTTTCAAGCAAAGTATTCCCATTCTAATTTTAGTCATGATACTATTTTTATATCCATTCCTTTGTGATACAAAGCAAGATACTAGCAGTATTTCAAAGAGTGGATTAGTCACCACAACCGAATGCTAGGCAGCACTCTGAATTTTTTTTTTTTTTTTTTTTTTTTCAGCATAAGGGTACTAGGCTATTTGCCAATAGTTTTTTTTTTTTTTTTTTTTTTAAAGAAACACAAATGCACGTTTTGTTATTTTCAAGTATATCTAAACTAGTGGCTAAAACACTAATGATGTATATAATTTAATTACTGTGTAGCATTGTAATTATTGTGTTAGCATTGTAAAAAATCTGATAGAAGGATTTTATGTATTTCAATTCCATAAATCGCTAGGTAATTTGTTTGCTATTATATAATGCTTTGCATATCTGTAAATCTCTTGCTAAATATATACATATATTCTTTCTTCCTTTCTTTCTTCTGTTTTTCTGATCTGCTTCCATTGATGACTCTATACTTTTGACTCCAGACTGGCAATATGAGGGTAAGATGACAAATACAAAAATCTCAAGCAACCTCATGAGCATTGCTTGTCTGTCTTTTATTCTTTTAGAACATTATTAAAATTCTATTCACTCTCTTTAACTAGAGCCTTTTATTCCAATTAAAGTGCAATTATGTTTGTTTCTGTTGTGAACCTTTAATTATAATTTATCCTTGTTAATCATTCCTTTATGTTATTTCTTTGGGTTAAATTGTCATCCATTATCTCTGTCCTGAAGGACTTGTCTCTCTCCAGTGATCTCTGCTGGTGTTTTCTCAGTAATATTTTAATAGTTTTTCTTGTACAAAATTACTGTTATAATATGTTAAAGAATCTCTCAAATATTTTAATTAATCCTTCAAAATCTCATATTCATTTGACTGAAGGATTTTTCTTTGTATATAACAATACACATTTCTAAAGATTGACACTCACGATGAGTACTCATTTAACTCGAAATTCTTACCTTTGACTATTTTCTCTCCTTAGATTGCAAACTAGCTAGGGGAGGCCCACCAGCTACCATAGTTGCTATTGATGAAGAGAGTCGGAATGGTGAGTGGACCTATTTTGCAACGTTTTATCTAACAGAAACTTCTTAGAATTCCAATATTTAGTTTAATGTGAGTAAAAATAGTAGTAGTTTCAACCACAGTTCTTAAATAGTTCACCTCTAATTTCTATGTTGCATCAGTTTTAGTTATATCGTGCATGGAAATTATTCTGAGTATGTTAGAAGGTTTTTGTTTGTTTGTTTGTTTTTGTATTAAAGTAGTTGCATTTGACTCAGGAGATATTGATACTGAACCAGCACAAAAATTTGGGCACATATATTTAATACTCATTAACAACATATTTGTTCAAAGAAATGGACTACAAGGTAAGTCATATGCTACTAACTTAAATTGTCTGAAACTTGGCGAAGATTAAGGTTCAGAACTGATTAGACATTGTGATTGTAAGTGGTTGATGGGAGCATTTAATGTTCTTGACAAACAGATTGAGAGCTGAAGTAGCCTGAATTTTCATTGTTTCTCTTTACCATAATTAACAACTGGTGCCTAACTCATCAAATTCTTCAAAAAAATAATTTTGGTGATCAGAATAAAAAATATCAATATCATTTGATATTTTATTCTTTAACAATCTTTTTGCGTCTTTGAAACCTTCAGATGTTAAAGATCTCTCCTTTACTGAGTATCAGTCAAATGGTTATCCCTTAGAGTTCTGTTTCTGTTTCAACTGATTTCAGGTGTGAATATGCAACATGGCTCATTCTGTCTATTAATTTGATGATGGACCTTCCTTTTATTTATTTGCAAAGTATCCCTATTCTAAATTGTACATTCTAGTACTCTGGAGGCTGAGACAGGAGAACTGCTATGAGTTTGAGGGCAGCCTTGGCTAAAGGGTCATCCTGAACTGCATAATGAAACTCTATCTCAAAAAGACAAAAAAAATATGCATTCTTTCATAAAATCAAATGACTTATAGGAAAATGACCATTTTCCTACAATTCAGCCTGTATATGCTGAAAACCCTATTGTACATGTACAACCTGCATCAGTTCACTACATCATGGAGTTCTTTTGCTTCATTATAGATCCTTCTTTCACCCCCGTTCATATTAGCTCAAACCTTTAAATTCGTGTACATCCTTTGCAGTTCACCAAGAATTTAGCATCATTAGCTTTTACTGGAACAACTTTACACTAAGGGCTTACACTAAACTTTCATGATATTGAATAATTGCAAAATATGAAGAATTTGATTATTTAATAATCTAATTCTATTGAAAGAATATAGGATTAGTTATTATGTCCTATGCAAACTGGAAAATAATCACTAAATTTATCTTTAAAAAGGAAAAATAAAACAAAGTAAAATTATTTTTTCTCTCATGTAGACTTATTTTTTTACTTACAGTTAACTACTGTTATTCAGAACAAACTCTTATTTTCTGAATGTCATGCAATGAAGGGTTGACGTTTTAAGCAAGAAACAAAAAGTCATTAAGCATAATGAAAGGTCTCTGCGTATTTTCTTCTCTTATTGTTATACATTTTCCTTCAAGACTAAAGCAAAGCTGAAATAAGACATTTATTCTATTGAATAAATTTATTTTAACATGTGATTTTTATACAGAGCTTATTTTGCTTACTGGTTAGTTAAGTTATAGCTATAGAAATTGTGATATTTTATCTCCTTCTATGCTGATTATATTCTATTTTTCAAAGGAGCTTAGGAATGCTACAAAGATGTTGTCCTAGCAGATTGTATTGAAACAAATGGAGAAAGTTCAATATTTATGTTTTAAAAGATTACAACAGGATATAATGTGGTAATGCTGTGTTCCTTACTTGGCATGTTTTATAGAAACTGTCATCTAATCAAAATGCTGCTAAAGGAGTGTCACTACTAAGGAAATGAATGATTTTTTTTTGCATCAAATTTCTAAAAAAGATGATGATCAAATAAACTTCTTCTAGACATTATAATGTATTCTTTAGTCATTCTTGGCTTAAAATTCTAAGGGAAACAATTCATGAAAATGTGCTTCATTATGTTTCTTCAGGCAGTCTAAGAAACATCTCAATAAGAGAGTTATTTCTAGCTATGCTCTCAAACTGTTTTAATTTCTCATTTCATTCTTGCTCTAATTGATAGTAAGAAATTATGAATTTATCGTATTTTTACCAGTAATGATGAATAATTGTTATTAGAATTTTGGTTGATTTTATAAAGAAAGGTATAGAAAATTCTTTATTGAACCTAACTAATAAATTTATTATGAATAGCCTTGAGTTTAGCTCACATTATTGGTGTCTGTCATGTAACAATCTCTGCTGCTATATACATACTGTTCTAAAGACTAGCGTCTGAATAACTCTTTTTTTTTATTTTTCTTTTTATGTATATTTAAATTTTTCCAAAGTAAGTCACTGAATTACATTTTTAGAAAGCCCACATTTACCCATATATCTGCTTCTTTCCAGATTTTTATACTCGGTAAGATTGAAATATTTTCCCTTTTTATGAATGCATATGATAAAAGTCTTCACATGCATATATATATATATGTTTTATTATTTATTTATTTATTTATTTTTTATTTGGCTTTTTCCTTTTTATCCGTACCTGGGATGGAACACGACTGCCTGCTTGCAAGGCAGGCACTTATGCCGCTGAGCTAAATCTCCAGCCCCTCATATATTGTTTTTGAAGAATTACAAGTTTAACGGTGGTGATCCGTTCTCATTTGGGTATCTGTTACCAATTTTCCCTCTCTGATTTCTGTGAAAAGCTCAGAGAATATTTATTATATCATCCTTGACTTAAAGCAAGAGTTTATTATCATCACAACTTAAAACTACCAGAAAACCAAACATAGAAGGAGAAACCAAAGATATATGTTGGTTCTTGGTAACTCATGGAAAGCTCTTGAACTAGTATGTAGAGCATATTTAATGCATAATTCTCTTTTGATAGGAGAATGTTTATAGAGAAAGAGAGGATATACTATCTAGAATTCAGGTAGTAAAACCGTTTTTTTTAAAAAAAAGCCTGTCTGGAAACACATTTTCAAGTTTTATTGGATTCTGAGTTACTTATAGCAATGACCCCTTACTGGGTGGAGAAAGCCTACAGTTTGTTTTGCTGGGACTATTTAAGGTCCAGACTCCATACACATGCCAAATCAGAAGCCTCAGCATTTATGACAGCAATCATAGACTGGCATTTAAAAAAAAAAAAAAAACCTCTTGGGAATCCAAGGTTTAACTTGTTCTCAGAATCTGTGTTCAGTTTTGTGTCAAAAACAGGAGAAAAGTAACTTTAAGTCATAATTAAAACAGCATTTTTGGTTGTACAAAAGTGATTCCAGGGCAAAAGCATGGCACTGAGAGAATAGAAGGCCCATCTGTAGAGTTTTTATGAATTTAAAGTTAAAAGAGATAGTGTGGGTGCTCAATATATTTGAAAAATGAAAGATGATACCGCAGTGTTTCTATAAATTCCAGTTTCTTGTTAGAGCATATTGCAGAGCCAAGATAGGAAGCAGTGATGTATCCAGGCTTACGATGTGATCCCGGAGGGCAGACGAAGACATATTGAGGAACACTACTGTTGGTCTTCTGTCCTGGTGTTGCTCTGCTCTAAGCAATGAATACAAAAAGGAAGGAAGACCTGGATTCTGAGGTAGTTCCCTCCTGGGCAAGAATAATGGTGCTAAGAAGCAATCAGATATTTCCGCCTAGTGTCTTGTTCTCCTAGTGTCAAAACCTCAAGGCCTGGAGTAGATTAGTTTTAAAGTATTTTATAGTAACATTTCTTTATAATAGTTGTCAGTTTTATAACTGTTAGATTTACAAGAAGTTAGCAAAGCTGTCCTGCACATTTCCAAAGAGACTGATTGGGGAAAAGTAAAAAAACAAACCAAAACAAAACCTATCAAAATGTTCTGAGTATTAGTGATATACAGTAGATGGAAAGATACTTCAGTTTATTTGAACAATGCTATTAAATACTTAATCCTTATGTAACCCTGGCCTTAGCCCATGCTTCTTTCAATGCATCAAAGCTCAGATGCCGTATTGAATGTTTTTGGCTTTAATTTCATCCTTCCTTTGTCCCTATGTTCTTTTTCTCTTAGTTCAGAGAGCTATTTTAGTTATTTTTAAATAAACTACATGATATGTATTGACTATAAAATTTTCAAATATTATTCTTTAGTGAAATAAGCATATTTCAAATACTTGAAAACAGACTGAATTGCGCAAAGGAAAAAAGACAAAGATCTAATGTAAATGACTTTGTAAGAATAGCTCTGTTTCATTTTAAAAATTACTCTCAATATACTTTTGTCTCAATAATGTCCTATGTTATTGTTTTACAGAAATAGTCAGTAGAGTTTCTGTCTTTATTTTTTAGTATTTACCACCGAATACAATAATTCACAATTAAAGTTAGTTGTCTTTGAAATATGAAAAAGAAGTATGACAAGTATAAAAAAAAGGAAGAAAATACTTTTGTACAGCAAGTACACAACTTTTCATTTATGAGAAAGAGAAACTAATGATGTGTGAAATTCTGAAATTATTTCGTCTAATTAACAATTAGTATATATTCACATATGACATTAATATATTTTAGCATTGTATACAATCATCAAAGTTGACATCAAACCAGCTATTTCTAGTGTAAGTTCTATTTCTCTGAGTAAATAGAAAAAACATTATTTTTCTCTTGTTTAACAAATTTGCGGTAACCTAACTTGATTTTTAGTTGCAGAAAATTTAAATTGTTTTATACAACACTAGCAATCTGTGGCAAGATTGCTTGTAGATATTACACAGAATTAAAATCATAAATATAAAATCATTTATTATGATTCCTTTGCTTCCTTTTCCAACTAATTAAATCATTCAGAATTGTTACAGTGAAAAGTATAGACACTGATGAAGAAATAGGGTCTGCCCATAAATTATGAAGGAATTATGCCAGATTTGTGATATACCTTAGTGCCATTAGTATTACATTTAGATACTGTTGTGTGA